GTCTTTCTGTGTTATTAGGGTTTATCTTATATATATATATATATATATATATATATATATATATATATATATATATATATATATGTTAGTCTAACAACCACAGCATTTCTATCGGTATGGTTTATCCGCTACCAGAATGCTGAGGATGTTTAACTGGTATATATATATCATAGATAGAGTCAAATAAATAATTCAAGTATTGCTCATGAATGACTTGACCATCTGATTTGCTTGGATTAGTCAATTGACATATCTATAACTAGCTAACCTAAGAAGTTGTTGTGTTATAACTAATACCACCAGTTAACCTAAGAAGTGGCTGTATTATGGTTTATTATGTATGCACCTACTATTATAAAGACAAATGAATAATTCAAGTATTCCTCGTGAATGACTTGTCCTTCTAGATTTCTTGGATTAATCAATTATCATGGATACCACCAGCTAACCTAAGAAGTTGCTATGTGATGGTTTATATACATTAGACCTACCAATTGACTTGTCAATAACATGGAAGTTAATTGCTGTAAGGTAGTATTTCCAGTATTTAACCAATATAATGCATATGAGATCCTTGAACTGAAGGATACTTTTTATTATTGTCTTAATCTATCTGCACATAAACGTTTACTTAGACTAGTTATTAATCTAAGCTCACATCACAAGCTATCACATGCTGTCCTATTCGAATGAGCAACTTAACTATTTTATTTTATTTCAAAATTAATAAAACTCTTCANCATCACAAGCTATCACATGCTGTCCTATTCGAATGAGCAACTTAACTATTTTATTTTGTTTCCAAATTAATAAAACTCTTCATGGGATCGATACTTGGACTTAAAACTGAGAGAACTACNGGGATCGATACTTGGACTTAAAACTGAGAAAACTATAATTTGACCACTTATACTTGGATGTATAATATTAATCGGATCACTAAAAAGTGCGAATCATCCTACTTAAAATCAAATAATTTTAATAAATGATAAATTCAAATTAATAGAGAACGAGAGGTAGCCAACCACCCTAAAGCACTATATTTAGCTTTCTTATTATAAAATTTGCATGATACCATTAGTTATTTTAGTTTGCAACAAAAATTTTAACGTGGACGCTCTCCAGAAATTTTCTGATCGAGCATACAACAAAAGATTGACTGTGAATGAATTTAAAAATGAGTCATTCTTAACATCGAAAAAGAGAAATTTCAAAGATAAGCCACTGATATTCCATAACTCTAGTTACCACTTAATCAAATCAAGTTACAATTCAAACAAGTTTACTAACCACTCNTCATCCTACTTAAAATCAAATAATTTTAATAAATGATAAATTCAAATTAATAGAGAATGAGAGGTAGCCAACCACCGTAAAGCACTATATTTAGCTTTCTTATTATAAAATTTGCATGATACCATTTGTTATTTTAGTTTGCAACAAAAATTTTAACGTGGACGCTCTCCAGAAATTTCCTGATCGAGCATACAACAAAAGATTGACTGTGAATGAATTTAAAAATGAGTCATTCTTAACATTGAAAAAGAGAAATTTCAAAGATAAGCCACTGATTTTCCATAACTCTAGTTACCACTTAATCAAATCAAGTTACAATTCAAACAAGTTTACTAACGACTTAATGCGTCAATTTAAGATTGATAAAAACACTCAATCCCAATTGTTAGAATTGATCCTAAATTTTTAGACTTTATTGAATCATAACTTAACACAATTGAATTGTAATTAGATCTCATCCCGTCGTAACTTTTTTTAAAATATTTGTGTAAGGAGTAAAGTAGAAGAGAAATGGGGACAATTCCTTAGTTGAAAATGAAACTTTTCCTTTTATTTTGGTTTTTAACCATAAAAGTGGTATAAGGGTCCGAGCATTTGCTATGCATTTTCGTGTGCAGACCAAATAAAGCAGGATGCTACCATTTTTGTATGTCTGTGGACAATGATGAGGAAATTGCATAGCATTTTTGTGTGTAGACCAAATGGCCAAACTGAGTGGAGAACAAGCCAGTGAATTAAGTAATGTGTAGTTCAACTCAATTAGGTTCCCATGTAAATGGTTTTTAAATTGTAAATTGATTTGTATTTGATATAATTTTTAAACTCGTCTTTTAAGCAAGTGAAATTGAGTAATGTGTGGTTCAACTCGATTAGATTTTTATCTATAAATAATTTTAATTTTACTTTCAAACTATCATAATTCAAAAGATTAATAACTATTACCAAATAGTTCTAGACTATAAACACCTCCCCATTTATTCTCTCAAATAGTTCTTCCACTTGAGTTGACACATTACATCCACTTTTATCCTTACTTTTTCGTTTTAATAATTTTTTTTGGTTCATGATCTGGAGAAATAGGCCAAAACTATCCAATTTGAATCTAAGAAAATTTGGAGGCTGGTCCTCCTATATGAACTTATTTGAACTCAAGTCCGCTAAATAAACTTGTTTGTTATGAAGTCTATTTTTTGTCAATTTTACTAGACTACCATTTCCTTTAGAAGTGAAGTAAAAATAAAAATTAAAAACCTCTAAAGTTTAGAAGTTTAACTAATATTAAAAAAATTTCTCTCATATTTATCTATGTTCGTATATAGGTTAGGATTATATATCTCTCATATATATATATACAATAACATTAAAAATAAAAAATAGTAACATTTAAATACAAAAAAAAAGTTATCATTTAAATGCAAAAAATAATACAATTTAAACACAAAAAATAGTAACATTTAATATTAATGTTTAAAAAAAATAACAATAGCAACATATTCTACAAAAATAGTAACATGTTTAACAAAAACAGTAACATGCTCAAAAAAAAAAAACATTGAACAAAATTGAAAATAAAAATAGTAGCATTCAAACCCATAACTAGAGGAAGAAATATTCAATTCTTCAGCATCCAAAAAAGTAACACTGAAAAAGTAATTACATATTCAATAAAAAATAGTAACATAAAAAAAAAAAATAGTAACATGGTCAACAAAAAATATAGTAACATGAAACATTGAAAAATTTTGGGGATTATTTATCAAAAAAATAAAAATAAAATTAGAGATTAAACTAATAACACATTGAATAAGTTTTATAACATTCTTTTTTCTTGAAAACTAACGACATAGAAGTTCATGATGACCAAAACGCAATAAAAGATATAGTAGTTATTGATGATGTTCAAAACCCTACTAATTTTGATGCTACCGAGTAAGAAATGATATCTAAGGAGAAATATTTGTTGTATTGGAGTGGTGATCTTCTTCTAACAAGAGAGAGAGAATATAAATTTGGATTTCAATTTTGAAGTGAATTAATGGATAATAATTTCTAATTTAAGAAATTAATTAAAACTACTTTCAAGATCTTTAAAGTTGTTGTAATTGAACATAATAACATCGTTCAAAGTATTTTTTGGAATTTAAAAAAATAGTGGACTTAAGTACTTATTAATAAAATAAAAAACAGACTTATCATCAAATAAATTTCTTTGACGGACTCAAGTCATTATAAGTCCATTTAGGAAGAATCAGCCTCAATTTTCACTTGAATCATCTAATTTTAACTTTTTTGTAGGATTTTAATTTTGTAAAATTGAATTTTTATTTTGGACTAGTGGTTATAATTATAAATTATGGGGCCTAAAGCCCAGACTTTTATGGCCTTAGGCCAGTCCAATTTGTTGAACATAGCAATAAAATATAATCAATCAAACCCCAAGGTTGCTCACGTGGAGATAAAAATGAGTTATAAATTCAGATCTTTTAAGTTCGAAACTTGACAAACCCTTGAGGTCTACCTCCTGAGTGTTAGTATGATGGACCTCCATTAACTAGATGAACCAAGCTTTGGGCAGGAGCGGAGCCACGTGAGGATTAGGGGGGCACGAGGCCACCCTAAACCTTTTTTTTTTAAAAAAATATTACTTATATGTATTTAAAATTATTGTAAGTATAGTTAAATGTGTCTACTCTATTATTTTTTGTTCTACCAATTAGAATAGTCATTTAATTAAATAATCATAAACGTTCGGACACACTTTGAACACTTTAGAGATACATCTAGATAAATCTTTCACATGTCGGACTCATTTTTAAAGTTATAGATATTATGAAAATTAGGTTAAATAACGTAATTAGTGATCAATTGCTAATAGCTTGATTGGTTATATAGAGAAAGACTATAATATCTTTTATGCAGTTAAGTATCATTTGTTGTGAAGGATTGTAATTAGTCCATTTTTTTTCGTATACGTTATATTTATCGATGTTCAATAATTTTTGTATTTTATGAATCTTTAAATATCAAATACAATACTGTAAATTTAAATACATTATTTTATTTTTATTGATCATGAGAAATTTTTTTCAAAGTTTTTGAGTAGTGTCCACCCTAGAAAGAATTTCTGGCCTCGCCGCTGACTTTGAGTGTGGATTTGACTCCCTACCACCCATGCAAGTTCTAATTGACCGTTACACGTGATGTGTGTGACACTTCTCAACAAGGAATTATTTACCAGAAGGGACTACGGCTATCTTTGAGGGAGGTAATTCCCCGTGGAGTTAACCTTAAAATACAAACAATCATGTTCAACCAATGAAAATTAGATTTTAAACAAGAGCACTAGGGGTTGTTACCAAAAACAAGTTGTACCTAAAAAGCAAGAAATCATTAAAGTGGTGTCCCAAAAAAAGAGGTTTAGTTTCAGGGCAACAGCTCCACTAAACAAACAAAAAATTCTAGCTGCTCTCTTCATTTGGATACCAGTATCTGTTATAGAACCAGATTGAATCTGCAGCAACAACATCACTGTCCTGGTTACGGTGCCAAGTATAATAGGCATGAGTTCTGTTCTTAATCTCCAGAGTGGCATGCCCGAAGCTTGCTTCGCGGTAGGCCGAGTAACTTGGTTGTGGGTCTATAAAACTACACAAAACAAAAAATTCTAACTATAACCGTAATGGCAGATGGGGATTGTGTACTTGAGAGGATGAAGGAGTCTCACCTATCAGCCATGCCTTCTATATTTCCCCCGTCGCCAATTGTTATGTAAACTGGAGCAGAAGCATCCTTAATAGGAGTGCTTAGTCCATCTGTTATGTTGTACTGCACATTCGATATTCGTTCCTATACAGTAGAACAAAAGTGATTCATATAACAGTAACAACTACACTGTAAGATTGTTATATTGTGATCTGGGTGTCATGAGTTCAAGCTACAAAAGCAGTTTATCTGAAGTTTTGTGGTTAATTTACATTCAAAGCACAATGTTTGGAATACAATTTTCTGACTTCTCTAACCAACTACTTAGCACAAAACAATGGAAGGCAAGAATATGTATTGGGATGGAAGCTTACGGAACGCTCGTAGGAATGAACATGGCCTGCTAATACCAGATCAACTTTGTTCTGAACCAACCATGGCTCATACATTACCCTCATGCTTTCTCCTTCCATAAAATGGTAGTTGTTACTATTATACCACGGAGAGTGAACGAGAACAATTAGCCATGGTGTCTCGGCCCTGTTAACCTTGGGGAGCTCTTGCTTAAGCCATTTGTATTGTGGAGTATATTTACCTTTAAGAAAAAAAACAGTAGTAACATCAGATCTCATTGCAATTCTCAGAGCTCTCCCTTTGTTTGCAATGGAAATTATAGTGTATTTGTTCTTACCATAGGCAGAGTAAGAAGATAACACAATGATATATGCCGATGCACGCTTAATAGAATACCAAAGAGGGGATGTACTCTGGGATGCCCTGTAGGGTACATGGTACCTATGCATATATGGCTTGAAAGGAGTATATTCTTCCTGAAAAATAACGTGAAACTATGTTATGACCAACTTATTAAACTGTAAGGACCATCATTCTTGTCAAGACTAAATGTTGCTACACAAAAACTAGCCAGATAGGTTGAAAACCGAGTTGTCAACAGAGAAAAAAACATGAAAACGAGATTCTGAGGGGAAATTAGAAATAGGTGGAGAGGAGGGAAAGTGAGTCTCGAAAACGAGACTCACTGTCACACCATCGAAGTAATTGCTAAAACATCACTAAATTCAACTATAGAGAAAACAGAGCACGATTTACTTATTTTACTCCTGTCATGAATTAGAATCAACTTATATGACCAACATCAATAGCTCTTATGTTTAGCATTAGAATTTAATTAAACAAATACACAAATTATTTAAAATTTTTCTTGGAGCTATGTATCTGGAACTCATTATTGTCAAACTGCTCAACGGGAGCATGGTCAGCAAATCTGATCGGAAAATTAAGTCAATATAACATTATTGTATTCGCAACATGGGTCATATCAGACATTCATGAGTCATTAAGGAAACAATAGAACCCCTGCCTGCCAAATTGGTTAAACATTCAATCCTATTGTCACACGGACACCAATGGTCCTATTATGTCAAAAAAAAATATGAATTTAGGTTTGAAATCTTACAATCTCAGGGGCAAAGTCAAGCTCATGGTTGCCAGCAGTCCAGATCCATGGCTGATATGCAGCACTCTTCTCGATAAATCGGCCCCATGAATCCCACCTCCTGTTATCATGAAAAGGGTAATGATCTGCATATGAAAGATCACCAACCATCAACACAGCTTGACCCTTTGGGTTTGATACATAATGGTCCAGAGTCTGTTTTGAGGCATATGTTTGCCCCAAGTCACCTGCATCATCAATATAAAACATACAAAATCAGAAGGAAAGAATAAACAAAAGGGTGTGAAAATTACTGGAAATGCAGGGAATTATTGGCGCTGACCCATAATGCCAAATGTATAGGGAACGTCAGGTCCTACTTTGGGAGGAGTTGTGAAGGAGAATCGACGGGTTACGTTCTGTTTTCCAAGTTCATAAAAGTACAATGTGTCGTACTGCATAAACAAACGAAATCGAGTTATTATGCTCATTGTGCCCGCAAACAAAGCTAGTGTAGAGTATATTGAAGTTGTACAAATTTGATTTAAAGAGAATAATATTGTACAGTATGAGTCTGAGACTATATGACATCCAATTGGATTTTAGCATTATGGCATATGCAAGACTGGATAGGGGCTAGGCCTGCTAAAGGTTACCAACTTGCATAGCCACCCTTTGTTCGCCAAGAACAATAGTTTGGAAAACGAATCTAAGAAGTATGGAAGGTTGGAAGGCATTCATCACACAAAAAACTAAGTTGAACTATAATATTCCAAAAGCCTAAAAAAGGCAATATATTCCGCAACACCACGTGGTGTAATCGACTAATAATAATCAAACAAATAGGACAAGTGAACCCTACAATCCGACATGATAGTTTTGAATGTAGAAATTATTGGTGGTTATACAATTTGGTAAAATTCACTAGTCCAACATAGTCATTTATAATTGGTCAGCTACACCACGTTATACAATTTGGTAGGATCCACTAGTCCTGCTTGGTTATTCATAATCGGTTGGCTACACCACGTGGCACCGTTACATTGAATATTTACGCCCACGTAAGATCTGTAAAGAATGTAATAAATGGAATTGTATACACTTACATTTAATTTTTTTATGGTGGCATGGTGAATATAGCCAGAGGAATAATTGTAGTATCTGTAAGAAGTGGTTATAGAATGAGTCTTGTGCTTTTCATCTTGTTTGCCATCTTCCCAATAGGTCACTACATTGGGGTGTCTCTCTACTGGCGTCACCCATGATATGATCACACCCCGACCTACAAGATCTCCTTGCGTTATGTGAACCTGCATGTTCACAAAAGAGACTTGTCTCTGTATTACAATTACAATGACAATACAAAACCATCAAAATAACAAACAACATTAAATTAGATACATTAAAAAGGTCAATTAAATGGGTCGAGTCGAGGTTAACACAACTCGAACTAGTGAAACTTATACATACATACAAATTTCATTATATATAATTATATACAAATTAAATATGAATTTAATTAATTTTAACACGACTTAGACAGTACCGTGCTATGATATTCTAGTTTCGGATGTGGAATGTAGCATGCGGTACGGCGTTCAATGGTTTAATAGTAGGGTTTCTATATAAGAAGCAAAGTTGAAAAAATAGAAAACACTATTAGTAAATTAGGTCTAAATAACATTATTGAATTGACATTTCAACTTTTTGCAACTCCAAAATTCGGCGTACAGAAGCCGAAATTTTTACAATAAAAGGTTTAAATGTTTCTTGAAAATAAAAAAGAAAGAGGTGAGCATTTTTGAGTTTTCCAAAAAATAATTTCATTTTAGTTCCGTTAATCTTACCAATGTAACGGGGTGTGAAAAATAATATCACCATTAAACCGGAGTGTTACTGTTACCAATATTGATACCGTTACATAACGGCATTTTCAAAACTATGGCCGGTAAATAATGGCAAGAGTGCTTTAGCATGCATAAAAGATAAACACAGAGACTTTCTAGAGTCATTACACATAAATACACTAATATAAACCTTGTTAAGCACGATGCGAAATCACTTATATGAACATAATTATATATGATTATAAATAAAACAGATGTGAGTAGATTATATTGTAACACTATAGATTAGACACAACACAAATCCAAAACGACTTATTGAAAGTCTTGAAGTAAAATAAGAAAAAATAGGTCACTCAAAAAGACACTAAACCCGAGAAAAAAAGCAAGAGTGGTTTTTAGTAAAAAGGTTTCATGCATGCATGAAGTGATACCTGCTCGGGGGCATTATAGCCAGAAGGTTGAGGGAAGAGCTCAAGTGGGATGTCAATGGCGGGTTCAGCTTTCCTCACATATTGACTTGTGGAACCTCCACTGCACAACCCAACAGTGTGAAGCAGAAGATGAAACACAACTGTTATGAACTCCATTTCAGTGAGATTGGGAGCTTTGGTATTGGGGTTTTGATGGGAAGGCGTGAAATGAACGTCCTACTGTATAAGTCAGAGTCGTGTGGAGATTAAGAATTTATAAGTCAGGTGGTTGAGTCTGATCTGGAGTCTATTTAAGATTTTTTCTGTTGGGATTGGATTTTATCTGGATTATAACACGTAAATAGCCTGTTAGGGCCATCCAATAAGGAGCTGACAACTGAGCCGTTAGCAAATAAAAAAATATTGCTCCAGTAAGTCAAAAATTTATTAGTTTTGTGAGTGTTTTATAATTTTTATTGGTATTTTTAATTTTATAATAACAATTTTTATTTCTTTTGTGAATATTTTTATCACTATTGTGAATATTTTTACCACTATTATGAAAAATATTTTTATCATTTTTTTTCTGTACAAACAAAATACAATTTGTTGAGTGTTTTTATCATTTTTGTGGGCGTTTTTACCACTTTTGTGGGTGTTTTTTTAATTACAATTGTAATAACTATTTTTATCATTTTTTTTCAGTACCACAATAGTAGTAATAACACTTACAATAGTGATAAAAATACTCATAAAAGTGATAAATATCGATATGGTAATGAATTTTTTTTTCGGTACCATAGACAACTCCATAACGGTTACATCATTTCAGTAGTTGTAGTATCAAGTAGGCCTGTCAATCATGTCGGTCTTAATAGGATCATCTAAAAAAATATTTCATTCATACTCAAATTGTTTATCATATCTAACAAATCATGTTATGTTATATTTGTGTCGTGTATGAATCATATATAATTATTATATATAAATGAGTCCTATCGTATATTTTTTTTATTGAATTTATCCATATCTGATTTGTTTATTAATCTTATTATACTAAGTCCACTCGTTTATAAAACAAATAGTTTAAAGAAGATTTAAACTCTCTAATTTAATATTTTGTTAATTGTTGTGTCATATTTTTGACACACATGATTGTCATGTAGTGTACCTGTCTACAAACAAATGAACAAGTGATACCCGCAAAATTAAATAGTCACCCACACAGAAGTCAATTCTTCCATGGATTAGTTAATGCCCAACAATTATTAAGGATTGCTCAAAAACAATTAGTAAGGAAATAGCAAACTATTTCAGACGACACCAGTGAGAGGAATTACAAGATCTGAAAAATGACCTAAATCAAAAATAATTTTTATTATTACTCAAAGTCAATTTCTCTAAGTAAAATGGAGGATGATCTAAACTAAGCTTCACCAAAAAAAAAATTAATTTTATCACGGACTCAGTGACCGTGTACATTAAAAAAAAGACGTGAGAAATTTAGCTAAAAACTAATTAACGATAGACAATTTTTGAGAATTTGAAAGAATACCGCCCTTACCTATGATTGAATCGAAATAAAGCAATACAAATTATTTATTGTCCATATCTTGTTAATACTACACGAAAACTGGCTTAATTGTTACAATATATAATAATTTAACCTTTCAAGTAAATACATTTTGTCATGCTTGAACTATGAATATTTTTTCTTTTCTTCTTTTTTTTGGGTCATAGTTTTATCGATTAGATCAGCCCAACTAACTAGAAATTCAAAAAAAATTAGAGTTCTAACCATGACTTGAGGACCAATATGTGTTGTCTTTCACGAATGGCAACTTTCAATCGGGTTCCCCCCTTCTCTCGCTCTCTCTCTCTCTCTCTCTTTGTGGATGAATTAGCATATATTACTTAATACAATCCATTCATTTACAACACGATAATCAAACAAGCCCAAGTTCTTAGAATATATAAAAGGCGACAGCCCGTCAAAATTGGAACTGGTTATCACCATTATTCATTGAACCTGAAATGTATTAGAACACGTTAGTGGTATCTAATCTTGCGAAAGGAGTCAAAAATTGGAACCGGTTATTCACAATTCAAAGAAAAAAAAGCACACTAAACTGGGCAGTATAATCATCGACTCCTTGAATGCATCCAAAAACCCCTAATGCTTCAGCTTACCGATTCAGCTCAGACTGCTAAGTGCTCGGTATCCTTGAAATTATACGGATGAGCACCCAATACTCAACTTACCATACTGAGATTGAACATACACTTCAACCCTCAATCATCCACAATGCTGTCAATGAGGTGGTGAATTGTGTTCATAAACAATAAGGGTGAAGAATACATAGCCAACTGTTTTCGAGACAGGTACATGTATAAACACTCATGAGCGCTCACCAAGCACACCGAGTTGGTAAAGACACACAGGTTCCGAAGGAACGAACTGGGAGGGTAGGTTCGAGAGCAATCATCATGCAAAAATGAACCAACTACACAATCATTATCTTACTGACCTCTCCAATTGGTAGTTTAACTATCAAACTCTTAGCATTTCCTCTCCCCATGATCTAGTATGGAGAAACAAAAGCAACAAGGGTGCAAAAATTGACCAACAGAAAGTAAATATTGAGCAGTGGACTCTTCACCAATATCAACATATTAAACTTCTATACATCAAGAGCTCCCAAAAATATCGAAAACGGATGCTTAAACGTATGATACAATTCATAACTACTTCGTGCACATATATGGATCTTATTGTAAGACACTGATACACATGACAGTGATACCACGTATCAATCATGACACGGTATCACCTTACACTACATATTTAGCCCATTGCTAGATACATCAAAAGGTAAATCCTTCATACGCCCAAATGTTAGATTGAGTGGAATCCCTTGCAACCCCAAAAGAGGGAGTCGAAAGGTTTAAGTCTTAGTTCACGGAGAAGTACATGTCAATTGCTTATTCTCAACTCAACTCAACAAAACCTTGTACCAACGTTTTTGGGGTCGGCTACATGTCAGTTGCTTATGCTTGCAAAAAAGAAGGGAGCTAAAAAAAATCTTGTCTTCTACTGAAATTTTACCATTAAATAAAATGTGTAAAGCTCTCGTCAAATTCTTGAATGATGATCAGGTTTATCATGGGATCTGGAATGCAGCTGAGTTAACAAAATTCAAGATAATTAATCCAAACATATCACTGACATTAACTATGGGCCATTGCATAGTGCAATAGTAAACAGCTTGGCCAAACAACCATAAGGTTGTGGGTACAAATCTGAATGCAACCAATTCGTACACACAATACCAAATGTGAAGGATATGCAAGTCCACCCCTCCCAGCATCTTCTTCAAGAGTTTAGAGTCTCGGCCTTTTCAGTTCCTTATATTTTAGGGCTAAAATTGATATCTTATGAAAAATAATGTACAAGCTCGAGAAGAATCAGTAGCAGGTTATCAAACTAAATATTCAGGTATCAAATTTAGTTTATTTTAAGTTGCTTCATATCTGAATCTACTGCATTCTTCATTATTTGTAACTGTTCTTTACTTGGGGGTTGAAATCTTTCTATTTCATACATATTTGTTCCTGAGCTATTTGAAATAAATAAAGCAAGTAGAGTCTTTGGAACAATAATTGGTATCTTTACTACAATAGCTAAAACTTATTTGTTCTTGTTAATTAGCTAAAACTTATGGTACCTTTAGGGAGAATTACACCCAGACTTCTTGAGATTTGTCACTTAATCACTCAGACCCCTTAACATTTAAAATATTACACACAAACCCCTTGAAGTTTGCATGCACATAACACTTAGATCCTTGTTGTACATGTATCAATTATTAAATTACACTTAGACCCCCTAAAGTTTGTGGATATATAATACTTATACTCTTTAAGTTTAAAATATTATATTTAGACAAAAAATACTCCAATCAAATATAAAATATTTTAAATTTTACAACCAAAAATCATGTTCTATTGTATCATTTATTGAAATAAAATTAAAAATAAAAATTCAATTTTCTCTTAAAAAATTGTAATTAATATTCAATTATATTGTCTATTAGAATTTAATTTAGTTGTTTAAACGACGAAATTAAAATATCAAACTACCCCAACATTACAGTTTGATTCCTTTTTTAATTTTTTAGTTTTGTTCTAATAAATAATATAAATATATATTAACTACGTTTTTTTTAAAAAATAAATTTTATTTTTGATTTATTTCAATAAATGACATAATAAAACATGAATTTTGGAGGTAAAATTCATATTATATTATAAATGATTTAGACCCATTATTTGATTTTTTAGTTTTATTCCAATAGATAGTATAATTATATACTAATTACGATTTTTTAAAGAAAAAATTAAATTTTTATTTTTAATCTTATTTCAATAAATGATACAATAAAACATGAATTTTGATTGTAAAATTTAAAATATTTTATATTTTATATTTGATTGGAGTATTTTTGATCTAAATATAATATTTTAAACTTAAAAGGTCTAACTATTATATACCCACAAACTTTAGGGGAGTATAAGTATAATTTATTAACGGATATATTTACAACGGCGTACAAACTTTATAGGGTCTATGTGTAATATTTTAAATGTCAAAGAAACTTGAGGCTTGAGTGACTAAGTGACAAATCTTAGGGGTCTGAATATAATTCTCCCTTTTCTTTGGAGTGTAACGATACTATCATGTTTCAGCCATTCCTGTGAGTCAATTTTGTCCACTTAAAACTCGGAGGGGACAAATTGCAGCATTGAAAGCCGCATAATTGGAGGAGGCAAATTATAATTAACCCTTTTCAATATATCAATCCGTCTCCACAATGTGCTATCCTAGCATCTCATTTCAATAAAAATTGACACCATAAAACATCGTCAAAACCAAAACTATTTACTAAACTAACACATAAGCGAAATTGTCAACAATTTCTATCTTTTTACAAAACAAAATCAACACAATTCAAATGCATATATATATATATATATCAACACAAGCAACAATTAACTGCGAGATAAATTCAAAAAGTTAATCAGTCAAAGAAACTCGAACTCATCTTCTTTCAGATGCGCTGAAAACTTGATCGGTCCACTACGCCACTCGATTTCAGTCACGAACTCAACTTTATACG